GCGAGTCAAAATTTTGATAAAACTGTCGATCGTTTGTTACCTCCGAAACCTCATCGAAATCAAAGGCTATATCGACCAGGTGACTTGAAAATTATGCAGTTATTATCCGTCTACCCTGATAATAAAATAGAGGTATTAAACGGTATGATCATGATTCCCATCCCTGCAGAAGATGCGAAAACACTTGGTCTTCGAGTACCAGATACTGAGAGCTTCTCGGCTAAGTCGAACTCGTCCTCGTCTAAAAGTTCGGCACACCTGTCCAACACGAAATACGTTGGTAAAAGATCGAATGACGATACCAGGTCCAAGAAAGATGTTAAACGTCATCGGAACGTAGATGTGAACGTAAAAGCGACCAAGAAGCAACCAGATCTGAAACAAGAGCGGAAAGCTCAACGGACACCCACGTTGGAGAGATTGAGCAATTTGCACGCGAAATTGGAACGAGGATTGAAAAATATATCGAACCGAACGAAAACTCGGTCGAAGGTTGGGCCGGAGAGCGCCAAGGAGTCCAGCAATTTGAATTCGACAACGATACGTGGTTACGGGCGGTCGTCTGGTCGATCCCTGAAAAAGAATTCGACGTCTCAAGAGGACAAGCTTAAGAAGGAATCGAGTTCAAAATGTACGAAACAATTGTTCAGCATGGCCGACTCGTGGAGCAGCGACTCGATAGTTAGTCATTCGGATAACTGTGCCTGCTGTCACAGCCGAGAGCCTTGTCCCTTTCACGGAAGCGAGAATTTCTTTCAAGAGAAATAACCAACAATTTTCCCTCCTTCGACAAAAATTAAATTTGAGAAATTTCCATCGATACGAACATGTGCCATTAATTCGAAAAAGAAATGATCGATCCTGAAATTCATCCGTCGCAAAGCTTTCTCTACGAGCTTTCAATAATTTGCACACTTAAATCCCGATTTTAATTCTCTATACGTCCAAATTTTAATCGCTTAAATCGATTTATTTAATCATAAAGTAATGTGATCGAGATGTAAGAAAATATGAATATAAAAAGAAAAAAAAAAAGAATCACGAAAAATGAAAGTGTAACTATCCGGAGAAAGTGGGAAAGGAAACAAGAAAGAAGTCGAATGATGTGTCAAATCATCGTAGAAATAAAAATATTTAACATCCTTGCGAGTAGCAAGCGCTGTTATGTCATATACAATCAACCGTATATAATTTTTATTAGTATATATATATATATATATATAATAAAACGTGAAATAAAATGTTAATATAGAAAATTTGATCCATGTGCTTATATTATTCAACTTTACGCAGTTGTTTGCGAAAGGGAATTATTTCACTCCGCTCTGATCCTCTCTCTTCGAAATTTCGAAATAACCAGACAATAAATTTTAAACCTCTTTAAATCTCGCATAAGTACGTCGACGTATAACGAACTGATATAGCGAACACCAGAACATCCAGATGGCTCGATAAATATTAATTTCCCTGTAATTTTCAGGACTCGGAGCTTCAAGAATTGAGAGAAACGATCGAGAGGCTTCGAAAACAGAGCGCCGAGGCCAGTTTAAATAATGGGACAACGGGCGCGAACAATGGTCGCCGTCACACACTCGGCGATTCCGATTCCGCGACGACAGGATGCACTGGAAACAATAACCATCAAGGTGCCTCGATGGCGAGACAATTGTCCGCGGACAGCGTCACCTCGTTGAATTCGTTGAGCAGCGCATGCTCGGCGAGCAGTCATCACAAGAAGAAAGGTTGGCTACGTAGCTCTTTCTCGAAAGCTTTCTCGAGATCACGGAAAAATAGACACGGCTCAGTGTCCGACGCCGAAGATTGCAAGGAGAACGCCAGTGGAGATTTGAGCGCGCCGAACAGTCCTAGATTGCCTAGCGCCTCTAAACACGAGTCTTCGCGAAGTGGTCAAAATGGTAGAAGCAACGGACAGAAATCCCCTGAGGTTGAAAATCCATTGACGGGAAGCAAAAGTAGTTCGGCTTTGTACAAGAAAGAGGACGAGGACGTGGTGGAATTGAAGAAACAACTCAGAGAAAAGGATCTCGTGTTGACGGATATCAGACTCGAGGCTTTATCTTCGGCGCATCAATTGGAATCGTTGAAAGACACTGTGATCAAAATGAGGGTATGTATATATCTTTATTTTCTAATATCATTTAAATAAATATTGTTTCGTTCTATTTGATATTCTTTTCTATTGATTTTCTTCTCTTCTAGAACGAGATGCTTAATTTAAAACAAAATAACGAACGTCTACAGAGACTGGTGACGTCAAAATCCTTAACATCGTCTCAATCATCGTTACCTAGCGATCCAGATAGACGTTTCAGTATGACAGAAGTGGCCTCCACTGTTGCCGCGCTTTCAAATGGCGATACTAGTACGACAACTGACCAATTAGAAGATTTAAATGTACCGGAACATTCAGTGGTACCATCGACCACCTCGACTACAGGAGAGCCAACTTTGGAACAAGATACGGATGGGAAAAGAATTAACGTCGCTATTTACCTAGGCAGTGAGAAAAATTTCAACTATAATCTCGTAACTGGAAGTACTTCGGATGGTAGTATCGGTGAACCTCCTCATTGTGTTATCGCGAATGTTTGCATCAGTAATAAAACTACCTGGGATTCTCTTGATTCCACTGTAAGGCGTTGTTTCAAGGAATACGTTTCGAGAGTTGATCCCGTGACAAATTTGGGCTTAGGAGTTGAATGCGTTGCTGCTTATCATCTCGGAGAAGCTTCGAGGTACGTATCTTCTAATAGCCTTTTTTTTTTTAATCATTCCATATTATATAATTCTTCAAATACGATTCTTTTTCATTTTTATGAAAATATCTAAAAAGAGATATTATATACGTATATATATATATATTTTTTTTTTTTATATTTACACAATCACAGATGCACTACAGATTCTCAACATCCAGAATTGCTCCCTTGCGGCTACTTAATCGGTCACGTAAAGACCATTTATTTGGTACTTTCTGGTTATTCGTGGCTCGCTGTCGATACTTTAATACCACGATCGATTGTGCAGCGATTAATATCTTTGTTAACTGAACATCGTAGAGTTATTTTATGTGGACCTAGTGGTACTGGCAAGAGTTATTTGGCTGGAAAATTAGCTCATGCATTGGTGGATGCCGATAATGATACAAAAGATGCTACAGCTGTAGCCACGTTCAACGTGGATCACAAATCCAGCAAAGAACTTAGACAATATCTCGCCCATATCGCCGAAAGATGTGATTCGAATGCAGCTGATGAATTACCAAGGGTAATCATTCTTGAAAATTTACAACACGCTGCATCTTTAGGAGAATTATTCAGTGGCTTGCTCGGTACTAGACACTCATCTTGTCCAGCTATTATTGGCACCATGAGTCAGGCTACTTGTAGTACCACGAATCTTCAATTGCATCACAATTTTAGGTATATACTTAGCTTTCTAATTTATTCTATAATTTTAAGATGATATATTTATTCTATAAGTATTCTTGGAAATATTTTTATCATGATATATATCATATTTTTAGGTGGGTACTTTGTGCTAATCATATGGAACCAGTTAAAGGATTTTTAGGCCGCTATCTCAGAAGGAAACTGCTGGAACACGAATTACGCGAATGTGGTGGAACTAGAAACGCAGAAATGGCAGCAGTTGTCGAATGGTTACCCCGGGTTTGGCTACATCTTAACAAGTTCCTAGAAAGTCATAGCAGTTCCGATGTCACAATAGGTAAGATGTTTAAGCATTGAATATATTTTATTTATTTTCAGTCAATAATAATCTTAAATGAAAATGAATATGTAGGACCTCGACTATTTCTATCCTGTCCGATGGAAGTAACAGGTTCTCAAGTATGGTTTACGGACTTATGGAACTATTCTGTAGTACCATATCTGGTGGAAGCAGTTAGAGAAGGATTGACACTTTACGGCAGACGCGTTAGCGGAAATGGAAATGGAGATTCTTCTTGGGAAGATCCAGCTCAATTTATCACTTCCAGTTATCCTTGGATTTCTACGCATGCTGTACACGGTGGTAGTGATGCTCTACTTCGTTTAAGACCAGAAGATGTTGGTTACGATGTTGTCACGTCCGGACACACTTCTGGAGTTGGTGCGTCAAGCGTGAAAAGTCTTGGTAGCACGCATAGCGACACTGAAGGAGATCCTCTAGTTAGTCTTTTTCTTCTAAGTACATTCAATTAATACTAAGATGTGATTTATATGTAAAAAATGTATAAAAAAAAAGAAAATCTGCATATAATAATTACTAATTATATAATAATTAATAATTACTATATACATAATTTTACAAATATAAATAGAAATTTATACTGTTGCAGCTGAATATGTTGATGAGATTACAGGAAGCAGCCAATTATTCGAGTCCTCATAGCAACGACAGTGATTCGGTTACTTCCCTTGATTCATCGCACACTCGACATTCGGAAGACTTAAGTTCATCAACATCTTCGTCAAGAGGCGTAGAATCGGCACTTTAATTAGCAATGCTATTGTCATTAAGAAAAATGAAATACAACCTGAATATGAATATCTATGAATATAATCGTATAAGGCCAGTTTGTAATGTTCCATTTTAAAAATAACGATTTGCGTATGAGAGTATCTGAGAAAAATCTGAAGAAAAAAAGAAACGAAAAAAAATCAAAAATAAATTTTGGATATCTTTATGATATAAATCTTTTCTTTTTAACGTTTTATGACAAAAATATCAAACAAACATTAAACAGCCAAGCTACAAAGACTAAGATATTTTCAGCAATGCGTGATAGGATGCTCTTTATATAAAATACGTCCTTCCATTTGTTTTTACGTAAAGCAATGATGTGCATTTAAAAAAATGAAATTAAAAATGTCGAGAAAAATTTTTTAATGCCTACAGCTGGCCTATATTTATTCTAGTTTTTATGTGCGCCATGCACTTTGGTGTGATATGTAATTAAATAAGTAAGAGATAAACAAGCGATATTTCTATGTTCTTTGGATATAATGACGTATAAATATGTACGTCATCACGCAATGCAATAATCTACGCTGCCGTTATGGAAGTACGAGTCTATTTTAAACAAATACATTTCTATGATTAAATCAAGTACGATTAAGTGTAGCTTAATGCGACTTTACTCGAGAAATTTTGATGGAATATACAGTATTATTATAGGGAGTAAAATAAAAGGGCTTCGAACTGAGCCAAGATTTAGGATCGAGGAACCGTCGTTCCTTTCGTCCATTACTTTCAGGTAAAATAGCTTATCATATGCGATATACAGATCTCATGGACGGACCGCTCAATGGAGTATTGTTTCGCCTTCAGAAATATAGCACAGTTCGAAGTGGGTACTGATGAATGTGCGTGCAAAAATAGTCTATTTATACATACTTTGCTACAAAAGTTCTATTTAATTAAAGAATGTTAATATAATATATATATATATATATAATATAACGTAATATATATATATATTATATATATACATATACACAATCTAACGATGGCGCTAAATTTATGTTACGAATAAAATTTATAATTAGCTAGTAAGATACGTGAGTAATTCTGGTCATGTAACATTGTAAATACAAAAGACAAATGAAATGTACGATGACGCTAGATACAAATTTGATTCAAAATCCCATAGTAGCCTGCAAGATCTCTTTTAATAAAATGACGTGTAAAGTGTATAAAGAAAAAGGGAAAAAGATGAAATGCAAAGGAATTGAATCCTTCATGTGCAATTTGTCAGATTGTAGCGCATCAAAATGATAAAAAATAACAGGCTACATAAAATATACATAGTGTACATGTTTGATAAGCCTTGAAGTCGATTTCAGAGTTTGATCGATATCATAATGTCCATAAATATGATGTGCATGTAATAATTATACAGTCGCATTTACAGGTTTTTTACGTTTGTACCGTATTTATACGCTGTACGACGCTGCACTGGATCTTCATTCAAATAACGATAATTATCGTGTCATCAAATAAATTACACTAAACTTTACATGATTGGATATGCTAATTTGATTATTCTTTTTAACCAATCTCATTTTTCTATTTTATATGATAGTTTTTTTGATTTTTTTACAGACATTAAATCTCGAATACGTATAAAAAGCTATTTTATTTAAGTCAGAAATATATACTACTTGTGCATATTATTAAAAAGTAGTTACAGTAAATAGAAACAATTTTAAACAAGATTTCATTAAATATTAAATATAATTCATCGTAATATTAAAAAAATATGGTTCAAATATCATTTAAAATATAAATATGTCTCTAATATTTCAAACATTAAAAATGCAATGAATATTGCACAAAATATAGGCTACCGATGATCTAAAATAACATTGGAAGCATATTTCTTATTTTTTAAACAATATTCTACAACTGCATAAATAGTAAGTAATCTTCTATCCATAGCACTTAAATGGACCTCGGTAATAAGGGGTTGAACATCGGCCATTATTGATTCATGAGCGACTAGTTTTGAAAGCGCTATGCTCAAAGTGCCACCACTAAATAATTTTAAACGATCCCAAGTAGTTTTATGAATCCTAAAATCAAAAAAAAAAATAATAATAATAATTCAAAAGATCTTAGAAAATAAATTTTAATGAAAATATTGCAATTTATTATAAATGAATTAAATTAATACAAATATAAATACGCACATACAACACTGATATAGAGGTGCTAAAATATCAAAATGATCTATATCAGGGTTTCCAAGACTTTTCCCATTATCAATTAATAATACAGCTGGATTATGAAAATTATTCTGTGCTAATTCGTAATGATGGCGATCACCATTATCCATCAAAAAATCAAAGATCGCAGTATCTACTAAATCTAAAAGTCTACTCGATGTTTGTGGAGAATATGCTTTAGAATCTTTCACCTAAAAAATTAAATATTTCAATACTTTTACAAATATTACTTTCAAAGAAAAAGAGACAAAAAGAGAAATTTAATTACTTACATTTATGTAATATACTTACTTTTTCACAATAGTTGTCATCAGTTTCCCATGTTGCAAGTTTGTTTTTTTTATAAGTTCTTTGCCATGGATGACGATGTTTTACAAGTTTTAAATATCGAGGCAACCAGGAAATTAAAGCACCTTCTAAAATATCCCCTACTCCACACACTGGATCTGCAGGAGAGCAATAATGGCAAACACCATAAAGACAAGTATCATTACCATCTTGATATATAGTAGCATAAAGTTCAGGAGTTGCATATGGCCGAATTTCATTCCTTAAATCAACTAAAAAGAATTGCATATAAATATAATATAATATATAATAATAAAATATTTCAAATCATATTATACAAAATGATAAAAAAAAAATTCTAGATATGAGTTAAAAAATTAATATTTTCAAAGTTATAAATAATTTTTAATTTCTATTAAAACGAATGTTTATTTTAAAAATTAAAAAAAAATGAATTATTTTATAATAATTACTT